CCGCTATGGGTTGTCTCTATACAAGGTGCTCAGTTTTGAGGGAGAAGTGTGATTTTTCAAGTTGATGGTGGACTTCTTAAGATTGAGTCTTTTATTTCAAAATTGTTAGTTTATGAACATGATCCGTGTTGGCCCTATATTTTATTCTTCCTCATTCACCCTTCTCCCACCCTTCTATTTGTATTAAAACCTCATCCGTTTGTTTTCAATGCTTGCGTTTTAATAAGGATGGTGTTGGTTTTGCCTTGATTGAATTGTGGAGCTCCCTAGCACCTGAGGAAGGAGGGAGTGACAAGTCAGACAAGACCGTTTAATAAACTAAAGCATTTTGGAAAGTTGTTTCACAATTCAAATTTAAACAATTTGCCGAATGGACGTAGTGCAGCCCCACTGTTGGAGCTCCCTTGTGCTGTCGTGTGTTTGAAACCGCCCCCAGTTCAGCTCCGACACGGTCACAGCACATTTGTTTAAAACTGCCCAGTGCACGGACTGTGCCGCCCACTTTTAAACCCTTTCGTAGGCTGCAGCCTCCCAGATGGAGTGCCCTCAACCCTTCTCGGCTTCGGTGGGATTTGAGGGTGTCCCACGCGCCGCACAGGACGTTCTCGGCCCCTCAAAGGCTCAGGTTCTACCATTTTCTAATGCGGTCGGCGGTGCTGCTGCAGATGCAGGCTTTAGCTGCTCAGCTGTTCATCTCCATCCTGATTCATCAAGAATACATTTTTATCATCAATAGAGAGATTGGACAAATATGAAACCAGACCACCTTTGCTTTTCCAGGGCCGAGTTTCTATGGTAATGGAAATAAGTGCTCCTCTCACTTGAGCGCCTCTTCACTTGCTCATGGCATTGTATTGTGTGTGTGTGTGTGTGTGTGTGTGTGTGTGTGTGTCTTAGTCTTACCTAAGAGCTGGAAGGCATTGCCAGTTTCTTTCTCTCAAGATGGAATTGGGAGAAAGGGGTGGTATTTCGCTTTCTCTCCAGCACTGGCCACTGGCACATAACAGTAAGCACATTAATTTTGGAGTGTGAGTTGCAAACTAATACATGATCCAAAAAAGGGAGATGGGAACAGGAAAGGAATGTCTGTCACCTTGGCCTCGATTGGCTGAGGTCACCTTAAATAATGACATACACTTCTACCTCGTTATAACGCTGTCCTCAGGAGCCAAAAATTTTTACTGCGTTATAGATGAAACCGCGTTATATCAAACTTGCTTTGATCCACCAGAGTGCGCACGCCCCCCCCCCCCCCGGAGCACTGCTTTACCGCGTTATATCCGAATTTGTGTTATATCGGGTCGCGTTATATCGGGGTAGAGGTGCACTAGTAAGTGGAGTCAGTCCTCATTTTGGTTTTTATTACATGTCTGTTATCACATATAAGAGAGTGTTTATAGGAAATAAAATATTGCCCATACTTCAGTGACCTTATGAATACTCATTGATATCAGTCATTGACAACTACTGTCTAATAGGAGTTTCAGACTTGACTTTCAATAACCTGAAAAATACAACCTTTCACTAGCCAATTATTTTCCTTAGCAGAAGCAATGCTGTAAAGACTTCGACACACAATACAGTTCCTGCCAATGTTATTACTGTGTTGACTGACTGACTGCCTGCGTGATCAGAAGAATAGGGTTGGGTGTGTTAATAAAATAAATTCTAGTTAGACTGAAATGTTGTTAGCTGGTTCAAAATGCTGACGTCTTAGGCCTGACTTCTTAGTGATCAGTTTTAAAATCTACTGTGGACAAGTCCAAAGTGCAGTGTCATCTTTGGATTTAGTTTTTGGAAAACTTTTTTGTGGCTGGCCCTTAACCTGTAGCCGAGGGACATACAGGGATTACTTAGCCCACAACTGAAATGTGTTTATCTCTGGTAAGCTGAACACACCCTTCTGTGCAACAGTTTAGGACAGGAAGTGAAGAATACCCTATCCATATGAAACTGCAGATAGGAATTAGGTAGATAGAGTGTAATTCCTTCAGCTGAAATATAGCTAGGACATATCCCTATTTGAGAAGAGTGCCGTGGAATCTTTAATAGCCACAAATGGTCAAAACCTTGGTTTTACAACTTGTCCAAAACACTGAGGCTAAACATTTCAAAACCGCCCAGGGAATTTGGATACCCCAATTTCCATTAATTTTAATCCAAACCTCTCCGAAGCAGCTTGGAAAATCTCAGCCTAAAATAACTGTTTATGAGAACCAATAGAGCAAAATTAAATGAGGAGCTTTTATTATTTTTTGGATTCACTGATGTTTTGATTTCCAGTCTTTTGGCTTGATTTTGTCCAGAAATTGCAGTTGGTACAAAATATTGTCAACCAACTGGTGTTTTGTCCAGATCTATATTTGTCCCTGTTTCTAAAATCTCTTCGGTGGCTTCCAGTGTAATTTCGAATGAATTTTATGTTGTTATTAAAGTTCTTATCAGCCCCTGAATACTTTTCACATGTGTTTTCTTTGGGTTTCTAATTGCTGTTTTGGTTCATTTCATTCCTTTGTCACACCCCAATCTGTTGTAGAACCTTGCATTGTACATTTATTAATGGACCCCACCAAGAATTCTTTCTGCTTCATCATCATTAGCGCTCTGCCCTGCAGCTGCAGGTCCATGGACTTATTTTTGGTTTTGTATGTGCTTTGCAATTTGTGCTGAAAGCAACACACTTTTGCAAAATAGTTGCGTTCATTGCAAGATTGACTCAGTATATCCCTTGCGTAGGACACCTTTGCATTCTGTTATGATTGGTTTGCAATCAGCATGAAGGCAATCTGATGTGCCATTTGTTTCCCTTTGCAGTCTATCTTGGTTTGTATTTTTAATTAGATGCATTTGAGTTCTCTCCCTGCGTCTTACCATTTCCATGTGAGAAGCACAGCTTTCACTAGCCCTGCAAATAGCCGCAGATCTTTGCAAAGTCGAGTCTGTTTCTTACAATAAGTAATTCAGTCGCTAATTAGTCCATTTATTGTCTGCTCAGACTCACAAGACTTAACTTCATGACACAGGTCTGTAACAGAAGGGTCCATGGTCCAACCTGACATCTTGTTCCTTGTAAGGAAAATTTGCCTTTCCTAAATAACGTTCTGGAGTAGTTCACAGTATTCTTAACGTTTTTGAATGACTTTGTCTAGCAGCTTGTTTTTCCTTCATGCTCCCACTAAATCACTGGAGCTCTCTAGTGCTCCTGGACCTCCCATGTGGAATGGAGGATTTCACCCTCTCTGATTTCCCGCAATACCTCCTGCTTTAAAAGTGCGGCAGTCAACTCCACCAGTTCTCTGTGCCCCGTTGCCTTCCAGACTGCAAGATTTAGGTAACTCAATTGATCCGTTCTTGCCAAAGGTGGTTTTCTTCTAACGCCATGTAGTAAGGTGTGATCCACAGGAGTACAAGAGCTTGGTCTTTATTTCCTAGCCCCAGTCACTCGACAGGGGGCAGGAGTATGAAGGGTTATTTCTCTGTCAAATGATTTCAATCTTTATCCACTGACCGCAGTGGCCACTGTTTGCAACTCCTTGATCCTACTCAGACGATACCAGTCTTCACTCTTTCCCAAACACCGGAGGGGAAACACTGCATGAAACCCATGAAAGTCTGTTGTAAAGTAGAGATGGACTTGAACCAAAACTCCATATCTGCCCCCCTCTATCCATTGATGAAGTGTGAATTTGGATCCCAGTTTCACTCGGTGCACTCCAGGACTTCCACTGCTGCATAGCAGTATCCATACAGGACATTACTGCAGATTCACATCCTGGCTTGCCATGCAGAGGCTTGTTGTATAGACAAGCCCCATGCCGGCTGTAATGTAACTAAATTGCAAAATGGGGAAACAAAAAGTAGGCATAAAGACACAGGTGAATGGATTAACTGTTTAATAATACCTGCTGTTACATAGCACTTTTCATCCATAGATCTCAAAGCACATTATAAAGGTCAGTATGGTGATCCATATTTTATCGCTGGGGAAACTGAGGCGTTTGAGAGGTGAAGTGACTTGCCCAAGATCACCGAGCAGGCCTGTGGCAGAGCCAAGAATAGAACCCAGGTCTCCTGAGCCCCAGTCCAGGTTGATAGCCTCTAGGCAACACTGCCTTCATGACTGCTTACTGACAGATGACCTGCCCAGCTCTGGCCTGGTAATCCAGTGGTAGTGCTGTGCCCTGTATCAGAGAGAGAGGCCCACCTTATAGATTGCCCATTCCTTGTCTCTGACTTCTAAGAGAAGGCCAAGTAAGAGACCAGGACCAGAAATCATACCAGGTCCCTAGGAAGGTAGTGCAGAGCCATACCACTAGTTCAGAGCTCAGGTGTGATTCATAAAAATGTAGCTTCACAAATTTACTACTTGTGATTTTCAGTTTTAATTTTTAGCACGGGACATGTGAAGTGTGTATTTGGTCTGATTTGAAAATAAGGCCTTGTCTACATTAGAAAGTTTTACCGCTCTACCCAGTATAATTTCAATAGTACAACTCCTTCTAGGTTGAATGCAATTATATTGGTTATGCTGGTGTTAGCCACTCCCGTAAGGGAAGAATAATTACTATAACCAGCATAAATCACCTTTATACCAGTATAACTGTGTCCACACTGGGGCTTTTACTGGTTAAAAAAAAAATCACACTCCTGCCCACAGTATGAGGTTTCTATTTCTGTAACTATCATTGCACGTGCTTCCCTGACAGCTGCAGAAAAACTACAGGGACTCCCACTGTATTAATTCTTTCCCTGGGAGAAGGTGAGGATGGCAAATAAAAGAATACTGTGAAAGCAGCTGATGCTTGGGAGAGTAACATAACTCCAACCCCTAACTACCACTGTATCGAACATCACTACTGTGTAGAGTCCTTGGAGGAGAATGTACAATTCCCCAATGATGGCTGAAGAATTTGGAGATCTTCCTGGTTTGGGAATTTTCCAGAGAAGAGTCTGTCTCTCAGAAGCCTTATGTCCACTCATATCTATTTCCCTCTTTTCAGAATCTTCCCCAGAGAGTACCTCCTTCAGCAGATCCACCTGTATTCCCTTGCAGACCTACAGCAGGTAAGTTTCTTCCATTGATTGTACATTTCTTCTGTTTGCCAGGTAATTTCCTTTCCTGTGTGGATTACAAGAATGACACGCTTTCCCCAGCTATTAATTGTGGTGGAGTTAGCAACACATCCCAATCTCTCAGAGGTTTGTCGTTTGGCATAAAAATCTTGGCATACAGGGATGTTTTAGCCCCAAAACAAAGGTTTATGCCACATGTGTGCATTCTGGAACCAGGAACAAGTCTCTGCAATTCTTATACGAGGAAAACTCCCTCTTCCTGAGTCAAGACAACAGGGTTTGGACCTCACAAAATAAGGGCTGGTCTACACTGGAAACTTATATCGGCACAGCTACATCTTTCCGGGGTGTGAAAAATTCACACTTCTGAGAGACATAGCTACGCCGACTTAAACCCCAAAGTGGGCAACACTAGGAATTCTTCCATCCGTCAATTACCTCCTCTTGGGGAGGTGGATTAATGACAGCACGACTGGAAACTCCTCCCATGGCTGTAGTGAGCGTCTACGCTGAAGTGCTACAAAAACGCAGCTGCCTGTGCCCCTGTAGCAGTTTAAGCATAGACGTGGCCTAAGTTAGTCCCCATGGCGCGTGTGGCTGTGTAACCAAAAGGAAGTGTGTACGCATCATTGACGAGATGGAGGGGAAACCTAGGTGGAGTAGCTATGGGGCAGATGCCATGTTGGCCTGGCCTACACTGGAAAATTGAGGTGTGATAACAGGTTATCAAAAGTATTAATGAGTGTGGTGTTAAACTCCCTGGGGAACTCCAGACAAAGCATGGTTAGCTTGTCCCGGTCATCCCTCAAGGGTCTCTGTCTACACTCATTGCTGAGTAGTGTTAATTGAAGCTGAAGGGGGAGCCTGAGTGCCAACTTGGATTGGGACAAAAGAAATCTGATGAGGTTCAACAAGGACAAGTGCAGAGTCCTGCACTTAGGACAGAAGAATCCCATTCACTGCTACAGGCTGGGGACCGACTGGCTAAGCAGCAGTTCTGCAGAAAAGGACCTGGGGATTACAGTGAATGAGAAGCTGGATATGAGTCAGCAGTGTGCCCTTGTTGCCAAGAAAGCTAACGGCATATAATGGCCTACATTAGTAGGAGCATTGCCAGCAGATCGAGGGAAGTGATTATTCCCCTCTATTCGGCACTGGTGACGCCACATCTGGAGTATTGCATCCAGTTTTGGGGCCCCCACTACAGAAAGGATGTGGACAAATTGGAGAGAGTCCAGCGGAGGGCCGCGAAAATGATCAAGGGGCACATGACTTATGAGGAGAGGCTGAGGGAACTGGGCTTGTTTAGTCTGCAGAAGAGAAGAATGAGGGGGGATTTGATAGCAGCCTTCAACTACCTAAAGGCGGGTTCCAAAGAGGATGGAGCTCGGCTGTTCTCAGTGGTGGCAGATGACAGAACAAGGAGCAATGGTCTCAAGTTGCAGTGGGGGAGGTTTAGGTTGGATATTAGGAAACACTATTTCACTAGGAGGGTGGTGAAGCACTGGAATGGGTTACCTAGGGAGGTGGTGGAATCTCCTTCCTTGGAGGTTTTTAAGGCCCGGCTTGACAAAGCCCTGGCTGGGATGATTTAGTTGGTGTTGGTCTTGCTTTGAGCAGGGGTTTGGACTAGATGACCTCCTGAGGTCTCTTCCAACTCTAATCTTCTATGATTCTTCTATGATTCTAACTCACACCTGCTTAAAGTACAGCTCTGCCTGGTCTCCACAGTTTTGCATGTGTTAGGCTTGGTCTGCACTTAAAATGTAGGTTGACACAGCTATGATGCTCACACTCTTGAGCGACGTAGCTCTGCCAACCTAACCCCAACCGTAGACGCAGCTCGGTGGGCAGAAGAATGCTTCCATCCACCTCGCGCCCATTGCTTGGGGAGGTGGAGTTCCTACGGTGACGGAAAAATCCCTTCCATCGCTGTAGACTGCATCTACACTGTGGGGCTAAGATACAGTAGCTATGCCGCTAGAGCCCCCGTAGCGTAGTTAAGGCCTTGTTAGCACATGCCACCAAACACCTTTTCCTTAGCCCCACCAGCTAGTGGATCATTCGCATCCTGAGGCAGGAGGACGCTGCCTTATGGCTTATCCCTTATGAATTTTTTATCCTGTCTAACGCACCTTTATACAGGGTCGCTGCATCCACACTAGGCATTGTGCTGGTATAACCACAGCAGCACAAAATCACACCCGTAACTGATACAGTTATACCGGTACAAATGCTATCTATAGAGAACAGATTTGGCATTTTTGAAAATTCTACCCAGGAGCCGCTTTCAAAATCTGGATTCAGGGGTGGATTTTGAGCACCACTTAAAGTGCCGGGGTGTTTTGAATTGGGAGTTTTCCTATGAGCCCATTTCTCATTTTCACTTTGCATTTCTTGCCCTTTTGTCTTCAGCGTGGTCACCATAATGTTTCGATTGGGTTTTGGTATTTCACTCCATTGTGTTCACTTTGCCCTAGAAGGAAAGGGGAAATTGCTTTAAAATGTAGGAGTAACCCCTCGGGGAGTTTAACCCCTTACTGTGACTAGTAATGTTTACATAGATGTGAGGCAGGAATTGTCTCTTTGTTCTGTGTTTGTGTAGCACCTAATGCGATGGAAAGCTGGTCAGTGCCTGACACTCCTGGGTGTGATACAAAAAATGTGTAGCTTCTGTGATACAACAAATTAACAACAATGATTAAATTAACCAGACACGTGACTTAAAATCAGGCCATCTTGGGTTACTGTAGCTGTCGATAATCAACCAGATGTGTCCGAATAATATACTTCTTTGCTTCAGTCTCTGCTGAACAAGCTGAGTGGATAGCCTGCTATGCAGCACCCGTATTTCAGCATGGGACAGATGGAATGACAAGAATTAGCTTGGCAATAAGAATTGAGGGGAGTTGGGAGAATCCAAGTTTTCTGTGGCAGCAAATACACAGAGACCCAAAGCTGAGGCAACAAGTAGTCTGTGGGCTGGTGCAGTTGTGGGATGGGAATAATTCCACATGTTTTAAAAAGCCAGTCATCTGAGGGATAGAACTGCTTTCGTGGCTTTTCAGGCTTTGCTGCTGTCTCTTCTTTCATAACCAAACCATGAAATAACAAGCTGCTTAAATCAGAAGTGGCAGTCTCCCTGGTGGGCCAGTCTATTAGCCCCCAGTGCCTTGTAAGCTGCTTAATCAGTTCCTAACATTGGCAGTAGAGATTTAGAAGCAATCAGCAGCTTAGCAAAGGCCCTGTGGGAGTGGGGATGGGCAGGAGTCACAATGCATCCATTTATTTAGCAGTTCCTTCCAACATACTTCTTTGTGTTTATTTGTATTTGCAATCCTCCTACCCCCCCGGCTCCCCAAATTTATCATAGTTAGAGGCAGTGTAATTCAATTACTGTTTCTGCTGGGATGGGTTAAATTGGATTTAGCTTTTAATCTAGCTGTATCCTTGTTATCGGCCTGGAGAGTCTTTTCCTCATTTCAGAATCTCTACGTTTGAAATCAGGTTGCCCATTTCTGTCAGAGTGAAACCATGATGGGGAGGAGAGAGAGAGAATGGAGCTAATAGAGGAGCATTAGTGCCCTTAAAGACACTGACTAGCCCCCATATCGTACTTTGCCATTGTTGCTCTCACCTGCCTACTGGTTGTTGGCTGCCAGTGTGTGATTTTTTTAAAATTCCCGAATATTTCCCCTATTTTTGATTCCTCCCCTGCTCATTTCCTTATATCCTGGGGTTGCTTTAACACTCTGCCCTGCTGTCATGTAGAATGTATGTGTTGGGGGAATTAACCAAAAGGTTTATTAAAGATTAATAGAAAGATAAGGCCTGGTGAGTGAATTAGAAAAGCAGGGAGTAGTAATCTGCAGAAATGGTGCCCTCTCCCCCAGTGACTCCAACCAAGTCTGATGTATTTGTCCTGCAAAGGGCTCTTTAAAATGCCCAGAAAACAAGAAACCTCTCTCCGCTGGGCAGCTGTGTTTTTATAAATGTGCTATCTGGGGGAGCTGTTGTTTGCACGCTGAATTTGAGGGTGCAAGAAGAGAGCTGAATGAAAATTCATTTTTGCCTGAGATGAAGATGGCGATGCACAATATTATTTAGAGGGAAATCTAATTTAAGACTCACGCCTGGTGCAGTGGGGGGGTGCCGGTGTCTGACTAGTGCTCCTAGGTGCTACCACAGTACAAATAACAAACAGGAATCTAGATAGTAAGATTCCAGGATTTCTGCTCTGTCTGTGTGTCTCCGTGTGAAGCCACGAGAGCAGCTGCAATATGGCTGAGAGCTCTTTTTGTTCAGAATATCTATCACGGGGTTCAATCACCTCTGGGATGTGTGGTCTGTACCGTCCATTTTTAAGTTCTCTGCCATTTTGACTTAACCAATGTACCCCCATGCTGTGTACAGCTGCAGTAAGGCGTGTCTCTCTGCCCCGCCAAGAGTTCTGGAGCATTGTGATATCAAAGGTGACTCAACATATCCCCACCCTTACTGTACAGTTAATTTGTATGGAACGGTTTCATTGGTTGTATGAGGGAGACTGCACAGAGAGTGTGAATTACTTGGCCCAACTGCCACTCTGTGTGTCCATCTGTCACCCACACAAATCAACACAGATCTTCCAGCACAACCGCCTCACACACACAAATCTACACAACCGCCACATGATAACCCTGAACACACACAGTTCCTCCCCACATCACACGCGCCTCATTCACTACCTGCAAAGATCAACACCAGTGTCCCAGCACAACCCCCTCAACACAGATCAACGCAGCCAGCATGCACAGTAACCCCAAACACCACTCTGACGCCCAGAATGTCTGTTGAGTCAGTGTGAAATGGTGGAAGCAGCTGCTTGAGAGCTCTTTTTGTTTAAACTATCACCAGGTTTCATCATCCTCTCTGTTACTGACCAGCTTTTAAGTTCTCAGCCATTTTGGGCTTTTTTGACACATGTGGCTTTACAAATTACACCCGGGTGA